AATATATAAATATGTAAATATATACAATGGAAAGCTTTTTATTTTTTCGATGAAATTTTTAATGAACAATTCCATTATCTTTTAACGAAACTTTGTGATTCTATACGAAGCAATTTTCTTTTCGTTGTTATTTTAAGGGATTCAAAGTGTTCAATGAATTTTTCTTCCTCTCTTTTGAATATAACTTTTTTAAATTAAGAGCAAGACTTTAGAAGAATTTTTTCGTCTGAGAAAACGTGTTAAAAATTTCCAGATGAAATTGTATTCAAAAATTGAGAAAATAAAATTGATTTCAATTCTTGGAAAGTTGGATTTAAAATTAGAATTTTTGAGTCGAATCTCACTGTAAATATAATATTTTGGAATATTTTGACGAGGAAAGAAAAAAATAAATGGAAAGGGAAATTGTTTCTTATAAAATATACAGTAATTAAATCATTTTAATTAATAATTACTCGGTTAATATTGTGACGATCCTGCGTTTTATAAGGGATATATTTGCATTGTAACTGGGTAAATTTTGCACGATCTTTGTTATACGTTCTCCACAGTGTCTCGTGAGAATACGTACACATTTTACATCACGTATAATTTTAAGGGGCTATAAAAGAGAATGTGAAGGTCTACGGGGACAGATTGAAGTGAAAAAGATATAACAATGGAAGGAAGAAGAGAAATGCGATTTTCAAAGACTGCGATATTAGATTGCACGTTTTATATTTTATTCGATAAATTATTGCCTAATTGTATTAAAATTTTGCATTCAAGAAAGGAACGAAAATTATCGTTTTTATTAACAATTATAAAAAAGAAATTTAAATTAATCAATTCTGCATTTAATCAGAGAGAATTATTATTATTTCCAATTAAATTATTTTGCAAGAATTATTCAGCGAATATCATTTTATTTATATTTCCATTTAAAAAAAAAAAAAATTACTCGAGTTAATGGTAACTTTCGATTCGGCTTGAACAAAGCAGAAACATAGACATTATTATAATTATTTCGAAAGCTGGACAGACCCCACGCTCCCTCTTTTCACGGTAAAAGCAATTAAATGCTGTTTTAAATAACGGTTGCTTAAACCATATACCGTGATTAAATTTTATTCATTTGCAGATGATAACAGAAAAAGCAAGATAGATTTTGTATCATCGTTTCTTTAATATTTAACATTATGCAATTATTGAAATGTTCGAAATAGAAACAATTTTTTTTTTAATCGATTTTTCTTTTTCATTAATTTTTCTGAAACAGAAAATTTGTTATCCTTATATTCTTTTATGTAATTTCTTTACTAAAATATTAATCGTGTTATAATCAAATCATCTAATAAATATCATAAAATTGAGAAGATTGTTTTTCCTATAAATTCTTCAATTGTAGAAAGGAAAGAAAATATATGAAATAAGTGTGAAGTGTAAAAATTTTGAGAAGAAGAAGAAGAAGAAGAAGAAGAGGGTTAGGTATAAAGAGAAATGGTATAAATTACATAAAATACCATGGAGAAAGGAAAGTGGGTTAAATCGAACTGCGAAAAAGAAGAAGACACGAGTGGAATGTAGAATACTGAAAAACAAAAAAACGGTGAAAAGGGGATACCCAAGAGAGAAAATGGTTAAAGATACTTTTTTTTTTAGAATATAGCATGAAATTATCGTAGAGAATGAAGCGTATGAAGATTTAAAAAATAAAAAAGAAAAAAAATATAGCATTATGTGATGGAAAAAAAAATAGTTAAAACTGGTGTGGGCAAAACTTTAAATAGCTTCATCAAGCGAAGAAATGATAAAAATGGGAAAGTAAAAATTGGTTCTTAAACTAACGAAGAAAGAAGCAAAAAACTTTCTAACGAGAAATAGATAAATAATAGCATTTAAACTTGGAAGATGTATATATAAGATATTTAAGTAGTTCATTAAGATAAACATATAAAGAATAAAGAAAGTTTAAAAGTCGTGAAGTAAAATATTCTTTTGAAAATAAATACTACAATGTTTGATGTTTCATGGTTCTGAAAATTAACATTTTTTTTTTTTTAATTAATTCATATCATCTAGTTTGCTATTTATTATAATATTAGAATCACTTCCAAAAGAAAAATTGCCTCTAAAAATTTGAAATATGAAATAATTTATATGTAATTAAATTATATGTGTTCTATACTATTATTATAGCAATCATTTTTAAAAGGAAAAATTGTTTCTAAAACATAATAACAATACATGAAAAAGAAAAAGTAAAAGAGAAAATTTGTACTGCTAAGATATTACAATGATTGTCAAAATAAAAATTCCCTCTTAAAACTGCCTCTTTAAAATATAGGAATAGATAAAAGAAAAATAAGGTAAAGAATAAATATCTACCTAATCCTGCACTATTGTATTGCAGTTAAAAGAGAAAGTTTGTATTATTGCAATGAATGCTAAAAAAAAAAAAAAAGAAAAAAAATTATCTCCAAAGATTTTTAAAATACAGCAATATGTAAAAGAAAAATAAGGCGGTAAAGAAGAAATACCTATTTATTCCATACTACTCTGGCATTGCAATGATTGCTAAGAGAAAAATTGCCTCTATATAGATTTGAAATGGGAATAGGAATGAAAGAAAAACAAGATAAAAGACAAATACTTCCGAGTTGAAATGCACAATAACGTTAAGGAGAGTGAAAAGACTGTTCACCACTTACAGTATTGTGACAAGGAAAGGAAAAATAGGAAGTCGAATGGTGGAGAAAATGGTGGCGACGCTACGCAATGGGGAAAGAGAGAGAGAGAGAGAGAGAGAGAGAGAGGAACACGGGGTCGTGAGATCTGGGGGCG